CAGCAAAATAAAAATATCGCAGTACGCAAACCGCTTTGTAACGAAACTAAAACCGTCACTTTCAAATTCACAACGCTGCTTTTCGTAATCGAGCTCACTCATCACTGCCAAACTCCCGTCATATGATTTTATACTATAAAATAAATATTGGATAACGATTTCATTTTGATGTTTTTATTTCAGCAAGGTCTGTCGACCGAAAAGCAAACATGGATGACGTGATATAATGTCTCCTTACCAAGACAGGATTATTGTGTGATAAATATGTATCAAGACCATCTTTGTTCAACAAAATCTCTCAAGTCATACAAAATTAACCGGATTTTATTAATTTTCTCCATGAGAACGGTAAGAGTTTTAATATTTCATTTTGAGAGAAAAGATCATAAAAAACATAGTTATAACTAAAAAAAATGTGACTACGTCCAAAACAAGATGAAATACACGGTTAAACAAAGAGAGAAGCGTTCAAGATAGTATAATGATACTTCCCAGAAGTTTAGAATTGGGTGTTTTTTGTCAATATATAATACAAGCAACTGACACACCCTGCAATGTAAGTAATTCATGATATAACAACAAAAATTCTCCGTGGAAAGTCTATATGTTTTCTCTTTGTGTGAAATAGTCAGAAATGTCGTCGAAATGTTAATATAACAACCTGTGTGACGGCAAAAGCGTTACTTTTCCCAATACACAGTTGTGTGCACTTACTCTGCCGTAGTCAGTAAAAGGTCAATGAAGGAAATGCTGTTTAAATGTCGGTTCGTGTTGCCAACAAAGCAACCGATGTATGCTAAATAAAAGAAAAGGAAAACATCATTACAAATAGCATTATACAAGGAAATTGTAGCAAAGTTCCTGGACGCAAAACCTTGTGATGATACCTAACAAATGCCAACTGAGGGAACGGATCCAGCATACTTCAATTTATTCCTCTACTATATTTGTGAATGACATTAATTTTATCGTTCAGATATTCACATTCTCATAACCACATTACATATTGATACACAATTGCTAATGTTTGTCCTGTAAGCCTATTCCTTTGAATTACATGTATTTAGTAGACCTGTACATAATAGTTAATGGTTAACCGTTGAAAACTGCAATGCATATATCAGTAGTTTGGTTTGGTTTGTTTAACGTCCTACCAACAACTATGGTCATTTAAGGACGGCCTACCATGTGTGCAAGATGCATGCGTGTAGTGTATGTGTGTGTTTCTTGGGAGGCTGATATATGTTCGTGTTTGTCTGCTTGTGAAAGCGCGGAACTGATGCCGACTTTACACTGAAACATACTGCCGTAGACACCCAGCAGGACACAAACCCGGTCACATGATACAACTGGCGAACCAGTCGCCCCACTCCTAAATTACTTAGCGTTAAGCAGGAGTAGAAACTACAACTATTTCAGACTCTGGTATGTCACGGCCAGGGGACAGAACCCAAAGCCTTCCTCACAGGGGCGAACGCTCAACTAATGGCCAAAAGCGAGGCATTTAGAAAGAAGAGAAAAGATAAGTTCCCTAATTTAGTCGCCTCTTACAATCATGCTATGGGGGCAGCAGGTACAAGCATAAAAATAAAAATAAAATAACTTTGACACTTGTCCTTCCGGAACACATGGTCTTATTGATGATGAATCTTGATATTCCCACTGACATAAAACTGAAGATTTTAGTGTAAATAGGCGAATGCAGATGTTAAAGGGTTATTGTGTTACTCGACACCAATTACTGATGGTTCCTAATATGCTTTATCAGCTTTAAAAGGCTATTTTTCTCTGATAATGGTGTCAATACGGTTTGTCCCTATATGACCTTAAGACCTTCTAGATAACAAAAATAAGTTACTCAGATGAATCGAGAAATTAGAAAACTGCATTCATGCGTACACTTGCTGTTCTATTCACTTTATTATTGATAGATTGGGTATGCGCATGTACGCAAGTTTGAAATAGAATAAATAATGAATTAGGTACCAACAGGATATTCATCAGCTACGTTGAGGAGACAAGTAATTGTGTCAATATCATAGTATTTCCTGACGTTAACAAACTATGCGAAATAAATATTTCATTGTGGCGTCAGTGTTTTAAAATGTCATTTGTTTCTTTCGGTGGCAACATTTTCAAGCAGACTGTCTGCATTCCTATTTGACAAAGTGTATACCTTCCCGATTTTTTTTATATTGTTTTCATATGAGAATGTTTAATTAAAGAGTTTGTCAGGTTTAACACTTTCTTTTGCGTATATACATTTAATAACCCAGGCATGCAAACATCATTCGTGGGTGGTCTGGGGATGGGCTGCCCTAGCTACAAACCACAATACATTAAACACTCTCTATTTTCTTTCTTCAACAATCAACGCCTGTTCATTTTTTTCTTCCTCACTTATTTACACTCTCGTTCAAACCCTCCACTATAACAAGGGTTAGAATAAGTTATTCTACCTAATTTAACGCTAATAAGAGTGGGGGCGAAGGGGGAGGGACGATGTGTGAACGGTATTAGGTCAGGTCAATCGTTTTGTGGTCTAATACTGAAAACATGCGAAGTCCTGCAAATTGACGATGTACTGTCTAGAAATAACAAAGCTACCTTTTTCATCGCTACAATCGAGATTTTGATTATTCTCCACGCTGTTGTGATGTGAAATTGTTCTCACTATTGAAAACAATGTAATTGTCTTCGTTCTCGGTAACATGTTCCGGGTTGACATTGATCAAAAGTTCCGGACGACAACTTTTGAGATATTATTTTGCAATTAACTCAAATTGCACTTTTTCAATAAGGCAAATTTGGTATAAATTTATAAAAAGATGCTGCCACAAAATGACGCCGTTGTAAATTTTCTTAAAAATGAAGATTGAGCCAATCAGATTGTAGCGTGGGATGTTAGCCAATCTAAAACCTCAAAATAACGGAGGCACCAAGAAGGGGGAAGAGGTACCCTAAAGGGCCTATGTTCGTAGTAACCTTTTAAAAAATACCTGCCAAAAGGGCTAATGGAGGGTGATTGTGCCGCGACATAAAATCAGCTATAGCTTGCATATACTATATAGTTGTTATTAGAAAAAAATACTATATATATCAATCCTGTGAGTATTGTTTCCTTGTTAGATTAACGATATGCTTTTCAAATTCATAGTCAGTTTTTACATGAATTTATCTGTCCAGGGAGCCGCTGTGGTCAAGTGATTAATGTGTCTGACATTCTGCTACCACTAGTCCTCCACCACTTGGTCGCGGGTTCGAGGCATATGTGGGGCAGTCGCCAGGTACTGGCCGTAGGTCGGTGGTTTTTCTCTGGAAACACCAAAACCTGGCACGTCCTTAAATGACAATAGCTGTTAATAGGATGTAAAATAAAAACAAACCAAACCAAACCAAAATGTATCTGTCCCAATACATCTATGTTACTATTGCACAATATTGAAAATACTAGGCAAACGAATCCGAATGGTTTGTAAACAATATTAAAAAGGGGTACTGACTAGTTCATGATTGAGCCGCTTCGCTAATACTGGGTTGGTTACAGTAAACGGACAAATATAGCGATCATCTACTTCCTGTTTATAAGGTGATATATTGCTGTTATAAATAAGTCAATTGAGAAACTTAACTAGTGATCCCTAACTTGCATCGCAAGGTTGATCATGGAATTGATGGATTTTTAAATATTGAGGGGATAGCATGTTGTTTTGAATTTCTATATTAACGTTTAGAACATAATATTTGGTTTAAACTGATGGTTAGTTCGAAAGTTTAGACCGAATTTCTGGTTCTAATCGCCAGTTAGCGCTCAAAAAAAATACCATCCCAATTCCAACATGCTTTAAGAAATGCTGCTTTCATCGTGCATGACAAACTGAACGTATCGTCTTTACTACTGACTACCCTCAGTGAAAATAATTACAAGTGTTAATTCATGCGATACGATGATATGTGTGCTTGAGAAATGTTTCGTCTTGTAGTTCATTTCGTCATCCAATTTTTGTCAATAAACTATACGGCCTATATAATGCTAGAATCACCTCAGTGTTTTTGGTTAGAAACGGCTTAACAGCTGAAGTGTGATGGGCTAGATTAAACACAATTTAATCACGGTTCTATTATATGTTACAGCATGGGTTTTTTTAACAAGCAATGCAAACGAATCTTTTAATTTTTTCAATTCATCCCTCTGACGTCCCATACAAATACTACCATGTTGGCCAATCCTACCCACTATGCTGTTGGCGAAACATTATCGAAGAGAGACGGAAGGACGGACGGACGGGCGGGGAAGCGGACGGACGAACGGACGGACGGACAGTCAGTCAGTCAGACAGACATACATACACACAGACACACAGACAGACACACACACAAACACACACAAACAGACACACACACAAAGACAGACAGACAGACACACACACACACACACACACACACACACAGACACACACACACAAAGACACACACACACAAAGACACACACACACACAGACACACACACACAAAGACAAACACACACAAAGACACACGCACACACACACACACACACACACACTCACACACAGAGACACACCGAAATGAGAGAGCTTATTTAGGATTCCCGAAACACTACCAAAAAAAAAATGATATATTGAAACAGAAAAAATATAACAAACAACAATGGTTCGGAGCCATTTCTTTATATAATTATGCTATCGCTTTAAACGACTGAGCTGGCAAGTCAGCGGAAGTGTATGGGGGCCTATTGTGATACAGATATATTAAACACGAAGTTTAAAGGGGCTTCTATATATAACAGCAATCAATGAGATAATGTTCGCTGCAGACTATGCATCTTGACTCCAGGTATTTATCCAAGCCGCTGACAATGAATTGTGTATAGAATATTTACACGCCATTGATGACAAAGAAGAAAGAAACCACAACAAAATAATAAGAATCACAACTGGCCTAGATGACAAGCTGTCTTAAACGAATCGATTAGGAGAGTAATGGCGTTGTTGCTTGTTTCTCTCGTGGTTTTTGTGATCTGCATGGCTTTCGTGGAAGGAGGTAAGTAAAAATAATGTTTTATAAAAATCACATTTATATTGATCTATTTTATCTTAAACTGTACAGCTTTTTTATCGTTTACATTATACTGCAATCTTTCCTACTCAACATCCTGCATGATTCTTAGGAATTCACAGGATGTCTAGTGGCTGGATGGCTAGTATTGGTTCCTTTTTAAAAGATACGGGATCCTAATGACAAAAAGTCAAAATATTTCTGGCCAGGATAAGACAGGCTTCACAGCAAATGTAGACTTATAATACAATAGTCAAATCTGAGCCAACCTAACACGGGGATAACGGATAAAAAATCGCACAATGTCGTCACAGAAAATAGTTCCTTATGTAGTATGTCACCATTGAATTTACCGACTTCTGATCGTCTTGTTCACTCGTCAAAACATGGGTAATCGGGATCTTCCCGTAACTTTTTATACTCTGCTCCTGTGCTTGTTTCCTGTTATGTCGACTTTTTGCGATGTCGACTTAAATGTTTTTGACTAAGTTCGACATATGTGCAGGTAGTTGACAACATGAGTAATCATATGATAACCACTGCATGCTTTCGAATTAAAGTTAGAGATTTAAACTTGCTTGTGACGTTTGTCTCATTTTATTTCAATTGAAACGTGGTTTTATCATCACCAAGACAATATAACATTTCAAGTTAGCATATTTACAATCATAACATTTCGATATACGTAACAGTTTCTCGGGTATGGTGAGATGATCAATCAAGAATCAATATTCAAGTTTTAAAACTAGAATTCAACCCAATGGATTTCATTACTCTTTCAGCTTCCATGTACGTGATTATGGAAACCAGGTTATTATAGAATTTATCACAGAAAGGGTCACATCACGAAACCGTATGATTACCAATCAGTACACTAGAGCGGATTTGGATTTCCACCATGCTTTTTTGAGACAGGATACCATCATTTTTCATATGAACCGTGATAAATAAATATCAGCTCTAAGGTTAAAGTCAATTTGATAAAATATTTTAATGAGACACTCTGTGTTATTTCAAATAGCTTACATAATAGCTTACATAAGTAATTTCAACACATACAAAAATGATGAAAATCTGGTCAGTTTTTTGTTCACTGTCAACGAAACTATCTTACAGACAAATTCAAATTTGGTATCATTTTAACTGCTAGCATGTCTGTAATCTTCCTCACATGTAAATTTGATGTTGTTAGTCGCATTTATTGTGTTGATATGTGTGGTCAAATCATCCTTTGACCACTTCTTGATTTTCTCAAGTATGTCGGAAACATATCGTTTCACTAAGCTAGGCCTGCATTCTATGGGGGCAGTTGCTATTGCTTTTTGCTCCAGGCGATCCCACAATAGGATGCACTGGACTAACCATAGCAGTGCCAAAGCGTTGCTGATAGATCATTTAGGTACATATACATGTATAACAACTAATTATGCATACGCTTACAGCGTAGCCGAATCGACATCGATTTGTGGATAACTCGTACATATTTTACAGCTTTGTGTACATACGCTTCACTGCTCATTTGTCTGATGAAGGTGACAGAGTACATACCGTACTAGTCATCGAAACGTCACATAGAAACACTTATTGCTCGTGTAAAAAGAAGAAAAAACATTTTATAGCTTCCAACCATATAAATGTAAATATGTCGTCTCTTGGTTAAGGAAGATATCGTAACACAACAAAGAAAGTTTTTCTTCCGCATCTTATTGCATGACATGAGAGTGTTCAACATGTAAAACTGTTTTTTTTTTTTCATTTTTAAGGATGTTCAAGCTTGCTTTAAATATCTTTTAAGATCTTCATTATTGATATGTTGCCCTCATGACAAAGCTTTTTTTTTTTGTCCACACAACGCCTTCTCTGGCATTGTCTGTTTAGGCATCCATATTTATATGTCTTTAGATGTTTAAAAAGCGTTTAGTCCCTAACAGAGAACCTTTAATAGGTATTTTGTATTTCAAAAGATACGAATCCGATAACTATCTATTAGTTTATATCAATTTCATTTCATTTTTTTTAAACATAAAGTTAAGTGAAAGACTGGTTGAGTTCTTTTTGCGCTCAGAGAGATAAAGTAAAAGAAATCACTTAAAAGATTGACCGTCATACAGTAATAATTTTAGGGAAAGTGGCGTACTTTGGTCATTAGGAGCTGTAGAGCCAAGAGTTTAACCCTGGCATGATGCGGTTATAAACCTACTTTTGCTAAGCAATATGATGTTATGTTACACAATAATTGCTAATGTGTACTATAATATAGTGTACATTGTCTCTCTGTTGTGATTATTGAATATTTTACACTCTGATCTGTGCGTTATTTAGATAATGATTTATTTACATTTTGCAACCAACCGGATACGGTTATTTGTGTATTATGTGTTTATTGTTTGGTCAAAGTTATAATTTTGTATTGTGATTTGTGTGTAATGTTGATACTGTATTGTCTATGTATTATTATGTATTATGTACTGTGAGTTGTGTGTTATGTTAATACTGTATTTGTCTATGTATTATTATGTAACGGGATTTGAGTGTCATATTGATACTATATTGTCTATGTATTATTATGTACCGTGATATTTGTGTTATGTTGATACTGTATTGTCTATGTATTATTGTGTACCGTGATTTGTGTGTTATGTTGATACTTGTTATGTTGATACTGTATTGTCTATGTATTATTGTGTACCGTGATTTGTGTGTTATGTTGATCCTGTATTTGTCTATGTATTATTATGTACCGTGATTTGAGTGTTATGTTGATACTGTATTTGTCTATGTATTATTATGTACCATGATTTGTGTGTTTTGTTGATACTGTATTGTCTATGTATTATTATGTACTGTGAGTTGTGTGTTATGTTGATACTATATTGTCTATGTATTATTATGTACCATGATTTGTGTGTTTTGTTGATAGTGTATTGTCTATGTATTATTATGTACTGTGAGTTGTGTGTTATGTTGATACTGTATTTGTCTATGTATTATTATGTACCGTGATTTGTGTGTCATATTGATACTATATTGTCTATGTATTATTATGTACCGTGATTTGTGTGTTATGTTGATACTGTATTTGTATTATCATGTACCGTGATTTGTTTGTTATGTTGATACTGTATTGGCTATGTATTATTATGTACCGTGATTTGTGGGTTATGTTGATACTGTATTGTCTAAGTATTATTATGCTCCGTGATTTGTGTGTTATGTTGATACTGTTTTGTCTATGTATTATTATGTACCGTGATTCGTGTGTTATGTTGATACTGTATTGTATATGTATTAGTATGTACCGTGATTTGTGTGTTATGTTGATACTATATTGGCTATGTATTATTATGTACCGTGATTTGTGCGTTATGTTGATACTGTATTGTCTATGTATTTTTATGTACCGTGATTTGAGTGTTATGTTGATACTGTATTTGTCTATGAATTATTATGTACCGTGATTTGTGTGTTATCTTGATACTGTATTGTCTATGTATTATTGTGTACCGTGATTTGTGTGTTGTGTTGATACTGTATTGTCTATGTATTATTATGTACCGTGATTTGTGTGTTATGTTGATACTGTATTGTCTAAGTATTATTATGCACCGTGATTTGTGTGTTATGTTGATACTGTATTGTCTATGTATTATTATGTATTGTGATTTGTGTGTTATGTTGATACTGTATTTGTTTATGTATTATTATGTACTGTGAGTTGTGTGTTATATTGATACTGTATTTGTCTATGTATTATTATGTACTGTGATTTGTGTGTTATGTTGATACTGCATTGTCTATGTATTATTATGTACCGTGATTTGTGTGTTATGTTGATACTTTTGTGTGTTATGTTGATACTGTATTGTCTATGTGTTATTATGTAACATGATTTGTGTGTTATGTTGATACTGTATTTGTCTATGTATTATTATGTACCGCGATTTGTGTGTTATGTTGATACTGTATTGTCTAAGTATTATTATGCACCGTGATTTGTGTGTTATGTTGATACTGTATTTGTCTATGTATTATTATGTACTGTGATTTGTGTGTTATCTTGATACTGTATTGTCTAGGTATTATTATGTACCATGATTTGTGTGTTATGTTGATACTGTATTGTCTATGTATTATTATGTACCGTGATTTGTGCGTTATGTTGATACTGTATTGTCTATGTATTATTATGAACCGTGATTTGTGTGTTATGTTTATACTGTATTTGTCTATGTATTATTATGTACTGTGATTTGTGTGTTATATTGATACTGTATTTGTCTATGTATTATTATGTACCATGATTTGTGTGTTATATTGATACTGTATTGTCTATGTATTATTTGTGCGTTATGTTGATACTGTATTGTCTATGTATTATTATGTACCGTGATTTATGCGTTATGTTGATACTGTTTTGTCTATGTATTATTATGTACCGTGATATTTGTGTTATGTTGATACTGTATTGTCTATGTATTATTATGTACTGTGATTTGTGTGTTATCTTGATACTGTATTGTCTATGTATTATTATGTACTGTGATTTGTGTCTTATGTTGATACTGTATTTGTCTATGTATTATTATGTACCGTGATTCGTGTGTTATGTTGATACTGTTTTGTCTATGTATTATTATGTACCATGATTTGTGTGTTATATTGATACTGTATTGTCTATGTATTATTATGTACTGTAATTTGAGTGTCATTTTAAGACCGTTTTGTCTATGTATTATTATTTACCGTGATTTGTGTGTTATTTTGATACTGTATTGTCTAGGTATTATTATGTACCATGGTTCGTGTGTTATTTTGATACTGTATTGTCTATTTATTTTTATGTACCGTGATTTGTGCGTTATGTTGATACTGTATTTTTCTATGTATTATTATGTCCTGTGAGTTGTGTGTTAAGTGTATACTGTATTTGTCTATTTATTATTATGTACAGTGATTTGTGTGTTATCTTGATACTGTATTGTCTA